TGAGTCCCTAAAGTCACTGAGATATTAGATAATTTTGGAGGAATTTGATCAGGACCCATTTGCAGAATGAGAAATGCTGTTGGCTTTCAGGAGTTGTTGATGGGGCAAAATGCAGCTCTTGGAGCACAGGGCACATATGCTCCTGCAACAAGCATAGCCCGAGGCAGTGGAGGCACCCCAGGTCTCCTGTCCTGTCCGTCCCTAGCTGTGGCTCTGCTGCTGGAATGAGGCTGCTTGCTCAGGCTCCTCACTGGCTCATCTTGTCATTCAGAGACCTGGGTTCCTATCCTGACCTCTATTTCTGAGGTGCTGAGCAATGATCCTTAGGAATCACTCATTGTGCTTCCCTTGACAAGTGTTTTTTTGGGCAAGGCTCTTTGGGGCTCATCGTATGCCAACCCCAGTGGAAACTTCATCAGGGTTGAAAATTTTAGGACACCTCCTCTGTGAAAATGTACCCAGGACACAAGGGTCTGGCTTTATATCTGTGATGTTCACCCTTCATGGCTGGACTCAAAGCACAGTTTCACTGAATGGGCTGCACTTTCAATAAGCATGTCCTTGGAAATGGATAAAACATTAAACATATTTCACAGTTAACAGATAGATTTATCATCCAACATCCAAAGAACAGTACTGGGGGCAAACTTCAACCCCCTCCACCCCGAGCTTTGTTGGAAAGGATGACAGCTGATAGTGCTCTGAGAGGATTTGTGCTGCCACCAGCAAAGCCTGAACAGCTGTGAGGTCATCCAAAAGCATCCGAGATTCTGACTTTACCATCAAAAAGGGATTATGGTGGCAATAGCATGGAATCCTAGAATGGTTGGCATTGGAAGGGACCTTAAAGTTCCAAACCACCCCCTTGCTGGGCAGGGACACTGATGTGCAGTGGTGTGGACACTGGAAATAAATTGTTTTCTGATGTTTCATCTGGCTTCTCCATAACTATTTAGTAGCATGAAAAAACACTTTAGCAGGGGTTCCAGTTGAAGTGTTTTGTCTCTCTCTAACTAAGGAAGGGAAGCAAATGTGGCCTTAAATAAAAGGATTTACTATGTGGGAGAAATTGTGAAAAAGGTTTCACAGAGATGGGGCTGGGAAGGCCAGTGCGGAGCAGGCAAGAAATAAAGGATAAAATCCACCTGTTTCCATAGGAGAAGGGGCAAAAAAGCAGGGCAGGTTTTGTGGGGAGTCACTGTCCTACCACAAAAGTCCTTGAGAACATTTCCAAGGGGCTTCAAGGAACTTGTCTGGCAGTGGATGACTTAGCTAGAACATGGAAAAGGTGAAAAACATGTCAATTTGTGGCAATAAATACATAATCTTTTCCTTTCTATTACAAACTGTATTTTCAGAGAATGCTCCCAAAATGAACGGGTCAAAAACTGAGCCAAAATGAAGGCAACAAGTCATTGATGACAACTCTAGATTTGAAATGGGTTAGCAGCTGGCACTCCCTGCCTTCCTCCTAAATCTCCCGAAATATGAGCACCTGAAGGGACCTGAAGGGGGGGTTCAACAGGATCACATGTTCTTTGCAGTTTTGTCCCAGGGGCAGGACAGCCCCACGGAGCCACAGCGCCAGGCTTGAGGACATCCTGAATTTTGTCCAGCAAGAGCCTGCCAAATCCCATGAGGACACCTCATCCCTGCTCCATGGAATCACTGCAGTGTGACCTCGGGAAGATGGCTCTCACACCACCAGTTGTGTCTGGGAGAAGCAGCTGTGGAGAGGCACTCGGCTCTTGGGAAGCCTCCAGGTCACCGATGGAGTTTTGGGATGCAGCAGCTTCGGTTGTGGCTTTCTGTTGGATCTTCCCAATCCTGCCCCCCCAGCCTGCAGCCCACTAACACAAAGCAAAGCAGTGAGTCCCATTTGTTCCTGCTGGCTCCCTCAGCAGCAGCACTGAGGATGCGGTGCAGGGGAAAACCGCGAGGTCACCACTGACCCTTTGGGCTGCTCCACCCTCAGGGTGCTTGGCAGCACCACCATCAAGGGATAGGCTTCTGCCAGATGAACCATGGGCCCAGAAAATATCTGGTGGCCTTGAGAGGTTTTTGTATGCTTGAAAACAGGTGATGTTTTTTTCCTTACTCCGGCAGTGGTGCATATAATCCTGCATGTGAGGCTGGTGATCTGCCAGTAAGGGGCACAACCATTGCAAGAAATAAAGCAGAAATTAATTTATTTTATGCATTTCAAGGGGAGAAAAAGGATCACGTGGACACACTGGGGTTGGTCTTTTGCTTGGTTTTGCAGTGTTGCAGGACTGGGAGTTGGCTGAAGAGCACCACTCCCTCTCTGGGACAAACTGTTGCGCTGTTGCAAGTGGGCTTGTGAGCACAGGTTTAATTTTCCCTCAGAAACAAACTGGTGGGTAAATGTTCAAGAAAAAATATTCAGAAATGTGGTGAATAGGGAGAAAAAAAAAAGTCATCTCTCTGGAGGGGACATTGTTGGGAAGAGAGTTTTTGCAAAGCTGGGGCTGCTGCAGAAGCCTGGGCATGATCCCAGCACATGGGAGGGAAGGGCTGCTGAACAAACAGAGCATTGAATGATGCCAGTAGGTCTTTCCTGTGCATTTCTGCTCCTTGTTTGCCTCAGGGATTCATGTGTGTGTGTTAATAAACTCAGTAGCAGTTAGAAGGAAGCCTAGATTTTGTTTCATTCTTGATTTTTTTCTCTTTGTATTTGATAGCACATGGTTAATACAGAATTGCGGGTGGAAGAAGTAAATACAGAGGTAGTCAAGTAAGTATGCAGCCAAATTATTTTTGTGATACGTGGGGATAGGAGACAGACATTTTTAGTACAGATAAATTTGCTGTTCTGATTTGTGGTTTAATCACCTCACAACTAGGGGTTAACCCTTCTCTTTCACCTTAAGCCTCTGCTGCTGTTCAGTTCCATGGGAATATTACATATTTCCCTTCTCATCAGATTCTAATGTTACCTTAAATTAATCTTGCTTTAAAACTTACTATTAAACTTCAAAATTAAAACTAAAATTCTCTGCATCTTGTCAGATGAAGCACAAACTAGTGCATTTAGGCATGTCTCTCTTAACTGCTTGAAGATATTCCCTGTTTTCATAATCTGAGACTTTGTATTAGGACATGTCAGCAGTTTAAATTTCTCCCACATGATCAAGAACAGGAGCTATCCAGAGAGGATGACCAGAAATTTCAGCCCTAGAAAGGGTCCATCAGGAACCACAGCAAGCCCAGTAAAGGCAAATGCCAGAGCAGAGACCGGGTTGGAGGCAGGCTCTTCTCAGAGGTTATACAAGGGGCAGTGGGCACAAGGTGGAAGAAGAGAAATGTCAGCTGGATACCAGGAAAAAATGTGTTTTCCATGAGAGTGATCCAACAATGGAGCCTAACAAGACTGTGGAATATCTGTCCTGGGATATGAAAACATTGGTCCTGAGCAACCTGATCCAGCAGGAGTTGGAGGAGGTGCCTCCAGAGGTCCCAGCTCCAGAGCTCATTCCTGGCCTCTGTTTTTCTGCAGATCTATGACTCATTAGGAAAACCCCATGGTCTATTGGTAGAGAAACCTGAAAAACTACAGTAACTCCTTTACTCTGGCTCTCAACTCACCTGTTTAGTGCTTTCCATAGCCAGGTTCACCATGCCCCAGTGCATGTCCTTTCTTTCTGCATGTCCAACATTTAAGACCCAATTACTGCCCGGTCAAACACCTCTTCATGCTCTGCTTGGCCAGGTGGAGTGACCTGGAAACCATCTCTCTCCCTTTGACTCCAGCTGCTAGGCAGGCACCAAAATCCTAGTGAGATGTTTCACCAAACCCAGAGGTGGAGCCCCCAGCAGTGTTAGTCCCTAATCCTCTGGGCTAGGAAGCTTTGATGTCACCCAGCCCAGTCAGCCTCAGTGGGGCAGTGAGGCAGGCTGATCACCCAGTGGCTGAGCCCCAACCCTGGCACACCTCCACGCCCAGGGCAAGCCCTCAGCACCAGCATCCCAAGGTCCACCACCATGCTCCTGGCTGCAGGGAACCTGCCTGACCATGGGTGCAAACCTGGGATTGCTGGGTGGGCACACAGAAGTCCCTGTGGTCACTGGGTCTGAACTAGGTCCTGGATCCAGCCCTGGGCACGCAGGGGAGGAAGGGGAAGGCTCTCACCCCGCTGCAGGCATAATGAGCTGATTTTTTCTCCCATGTCTCCAGCACTTGGCTTCCAGCCCCGAAAGGAAGAACACCATGCCAAGAATTTCCACGGCTGTGTCCAACAGAGCAAGCTGACACCTGATTTGCTGTTAATTATAGCGGTGGGAATAGGTCCAGGGGCAAATGTGAAGGGGTGACAACCGGGTGGCGATAAGGACAAGACTCATCTGTCGTTCGTCATAAGGGCTTGTCAGGAGGGTTTTGTTTTCTGTGAAAAACCAGTAGGAAGACTTCCAGCACGCAGAGAAGCAGCTGGCAGGACAGGATCTGTAGGAACCCTGCCTTCCCCTCTGGCTGTCTTCCCCCCAGCACCTCAGACCGGAGGGGGCTGTGTTGTTCCCTACACCCCCATCCCAGCCCCTCAGCGTGGTTTGCGTGCCGGCGTGCCACCAGGCGCCAGCAGCCACAAAATTCCTGCAAGAAGGGAGGTAAAAATAGACCTTGAATTATTCCAGACCTTTTGTCCAGCCTATCTGTGGGCAAAATAATCCCCATTCCCTTGTGAGGCCTGAGCAGCTCCAGCCATTCCCAGCACCACCGAACTCCCACCAAACCAGGAGACCCTGCCCTTGCAGCCTCTGTTCTGCTCCTCTTTGCATAATTTGCTATTCAAAAATGCTTCTGCTCCAAGGGGGAGCACCCAAAACCTGTAGATAGCTCCTGCTGAGGTTGTTAACAGGAGATTTTTAGGTGCAACCAGGCTTTTGTGATTCAGTGGCTTTCAGCTGTTGCCCCAAAGGTGTGCTGTGTGTCCTTGCTTTAAACATGGGAAAGGGACAGAGAAAAAGATATAGAATTAAAAATATTTTCTTATTTTAATTTAATTTAATATTTTATTTTGTTCCAGCATTGAACCATGTGGAGTTGAACAATGGCTGTGTGAGCACACCATAGGCAGGGAGAACCCTGTTTCTTAAACTAAACTAAACGAAAATGAAATTAAATGTGGATTTTTATAATTTTTTAAACAATTGGGAAGGATTTCAGAAGGCGGCAGTCACAGGTTTCTGCACCTCATGTTGAAGCCCTGGGGTATCACAGACCTGTGCCACAGGGATATTTTTTAATGATGCCCTTTGAAACCTTTTATCTGTTTGCTGCTATTAAACTCGTTAATGCTTCACGTCCTGCCCGGCCGATGCCCGAGCACGGATTGTTTGAACTCGGCTGCTCCCCAGCCCGCAGGGACAATTGGAAGGGGAAGAGGGAGTGGGAGCGATGGTGATGAGCCTCCGCTTGTTTGGGAAATACTGCAAATGGGTGTTGGTCAGGAAACAAAGCTCCGGAGAAGCCGGGAATGTGCCGGGCAGCTGCTGCACTCGCTGGACAAACAGGAGCCGGAAGAGCTCAGGTGCAACCATGCCCCACCCAAAGGGGCCCAGAGGTGGCCTTTGACTGCTGCCAGTCACTCACTGTCCCTTCAGGCCAAAATTCACATTTAAAAAAGAAAAAATGAAAAGAAAAATTACAACATGTAACTATATATATTATACAGTTTTTATAGACTGTGTAAATACATACATCCGTAATGTAAACGTATATAGATAAAATATATAGAAATCTTTAAGTATTAAAGATTTATATTATATACACACACACATCCTCGGGGATCTCTGTGTGTATCATGTCTACTTTGCTGGATGCCTGGATGCACCTGGAATTATATGTATATTATATAAATTCCTGAATTTATATTGTAGATAAAGTCATCAATATATATTTATATAATACAGAAAAAATATCCTATGTGTATAATACACATAAGATATAGAAATCACATATACATATTACTACATATATGCATATCACTACATATTTATTATTACATACATGTTGCAATATTATATATTGTATATTTGTATTATGTACTGATATCATATGTAAATTATACATACATCTCTATTTATAGTAGACATTACTATTAAATATATATAATTAAGAAAGAAATGGCCATAAAGCAGCTGTGTTACCATTTATCTCACTTGAACAACAACAACAAAGATTTTTCTATTCTTCCCTAGTCAATAAATTAAAATGTTCACACCTTGGCTTTCCAGTTGCCTCCCAGCCATATTTTCTTGGCATCTGCACTGTCTTTTCCCCATAAACACACAGATTTCCTTTATCTGTTGACCCTTCTCAGCTCAAACAAATCAGTTCATTGGCAATAAATGAAGTGGCTGAAAAACAAAGGAGAGAGGGAAAATAAATGTCCTCAGTGGGAAAATTAGTAAAGAGTGCTAAGGAAGAAATAAATGAGTGAGATGAAAAGGTGATGCTGGGTCTTCACAAGGGCTTTTCCACCTCCCCTTGTCACCACCCACCTGCAAGCCAGGAATGAGCCCATCCAAAAGCCAACTTTCCCGGCCAAAAACTGCAGGTGCTGAGCCAAAACTGGGATGGGAGAAAGGCTGGATGAAGGCAGCGGACAAGACCAATACTTTTGGCAGCATCTTGCACTGGTGTAAGCTTTTCAGTCGCTGAGACCAAAAGAAATCACTACTAGAGTATTTATATATTTTATTTACGAGGCATATTTACGAGGCAGTTTATACATGAGGCACAAAACCGGGCAGTGGCTTGGGTTTGGTGCCTCTGTCCCGCTGTTCCTTTGTGATGCAGCCCCAGGTTCCTGGAAGATGCTGAACCCCCTGGCTGAGATGGTGACATCAGGCGCTGGGGGAGCAAAAGGTTCTTTTCCATTTGGGGCATTTAGACCTCTCTTTGGCATTTCTGTGTCTACTTAACCCGAAATGTTGGTGCAGGTGGATGGGCTCCCAGTGCATCCCCGGCAGTAGCACCAGGAGCTGCAGAGCAGCTTGCCTGTGTGCTGCGAGATAAACCTCTCCTGAGTTTAACCCAGCTCAAGAGCTTTACCAAACTTTGCTGGCTTTGGACAGATTGGCTCTGGTTACCTTCTCAGTGACACTGACTGACACCACCAGTGCCCAGTATTGACTGTTCCCTTCCTTCCATAAAATGCAGGGAAGGAGGGAGCGTTATCCCCTGGTTCCAACACAGCGAGACAGCTAACTGGAATTTAGTTTTATTGCTGGCAGATAAAAAATTATCTCTGCTTATTGTCATGAAAGTCATGCCTATAATTATCCTTTCAAAGGACAAAAGTTGGCCCAGCCCTATCCAGAGATTACCTAGTTTGTGTTTGGCTTGCAGGTATTGGATGTGGCATCACAGCAGAGCTGAGCTGTAGGAAGAGAGCAACAGGTTTAAATTAAAGCATTTTAATTAACAGTGGAAGGACAGGAGTGGGGCTGATCTTGCATTTAAGACAACAGCAACCTGCCATCAATGTTTAGAGAAAAGGATTAGGATTTTGCTGAAGTTCTGGAGTGAATCCAGGACTTTTTTCCTGGTGGATCCAAGGCACTAAGAGGAGCCTCTTCCCTGATGTCAAGAAGGCAGCATGCAGTGAGCCCTGTACTGTCTGGTGGTACAAAATGAAAAGGGATGCTCCCAGTGGATTGGGATGTAAAATTCACAGGGTCTTTGCATTTTTGGTTTTCTTAAAAGCCAAGGAACAGGCAGATGCAGAGGTGAGCCATCCCATCCCCAAATGGACTGGCTCATCCTGGTGGTTACCTGGTTTATCCCAGAGAACTTACATGGAGCTTCAGCCAGGAGGGATGAAGACCATCCTGCCCATCCCAGGCAAGGCTGCACCCATCCGCCTTTTGAGACTGGAATTCAGCAGCACCCTGCCAATCCCCACATCCCTGTCCTCATGGCAACAGGGCACTGCTCTGTTTGACTGGCCTGCAGTGTGACTCCGTGTGGGTGTGAGGATTCGGTGATGCGTTACATACGATTTTATACACAAGCACGTATCGCAAGGCCATATAGAGCTGATTTAAAAACCAAAGAGAAAGCAAAAACCAGGGTGGTGATTCGCCTGCAGGAGGCTGGGAGGTATTTATGGCAGGCAGGGTCACCGGGGTTTCCACCATAACTGGGTGTCACCACAGTGCACAGGGAAGCCCAAGCACTGCTGGGAAGTGTCTGCAGGAAAAAACAGGGAAAATAGTTGGCCAAGACAGAAATCAGAGCCCAGCTGAGGAGCACTGCCTGGCCTCTGGCACCTGCGCGCTTCCCAGGGCCCCGGCACCTCCCCAGACCTGAACGTGGCCATGAACCTGGGGTGGAAAGCCATGGGTGGAGATGCTTTAACTCACGGTACACTCCACAAATCAGAAATACTAAGCAGAATCACAGAATCGATTAGGCTGGAAAAGTCCTCTGAGATCATCGTGTCCAGCCTATGACCGAGCACCGGGTCAGTCAGACCGTGGCACTGCGTGCCACGTCCAGTCTTCCCTGAAACACCTCTGGGGGCAGTGACTCCACCACCGCCTCCCTGGGCAGCCCATTCCAATGTCAAACCACCCTGCCTGTGAAGAAATTCTTCTTACTGCCCAACCCAAACCTCCTCTGGCCACGTCCCCCCTCGGGCAGACAGCGGCAGGATGAGAGGAGGCCGAGTCCCACCTGGCTACGGCCGCCAGCCCGGGAGCCGTGGGGCGAGAGGGCCGCCCGAGCTCCTTTTCGGGGCCGCCGCTCCCGCCCCGCTTCCCGCGGCCGCCGCTCGGGCCCGGGGGGGCGGCTCCGGGCCCCGCCCGAAACCCGGGGCGCGGCGGGTCCGCCTCTTCCATTGATGAAATTTAAATTGCTCGGGGTTCGCCGCCCGCCCGCCGGCCCGGGAGGGACTGCTCGGCGGAGGGGCAGCGCGGCGGGCGGGCGGGAGCTCCCAGCGAGGCCGGGGTCGCCGCCTCTCCCGCCGCAGCCTCCGCAGGGGCGGCAGCCGCGCTCCGGCCCTTCGCTGCCCGCCGCGGGGCGGAACCCCCCGAGCGAGGCGCTCCGTGTTGACCCAAGTGCTTGTTTATTTATTAAAGCGCGAAAATGTCGGCTCTCCTGAAAGGTAAGCTGACGCGCTTTGTTTTTCTCGGCCCCTCCGCCGCCCGTGCGCGGGGCTGCGCTGTGCTTTGGGTCCGCGCTCCCGGGGGCAGCCGCCGGCTGCGGTGTGCCCGGGCTGCCCCGGAGCCCCGTCCGTGATCCGGCGGCGGGGCCGGCCCGGCCCGGCCCGGCTCGGTTCGGTTCGGGCGGCGGGGCTGCGCCCAGGGCTGTGCGCGGCCAGGGGCTGGGGGATCCTGCGGGACCTCGCCAGCAAATCTCCCCTGTCCGCTAAACCGCCTAGTAAAGTTGCGGGAGGATGCGTGCCGGGGTTGAACATCTTCGCTTTTTTCCTCTTTTTTCTTTATTTTCCCTTTTAAAAAATTTATTTATTTATTTATTTCCTGAGGCTTGAGTGTGTTTTTGGCGTTTTTTGATCCCGGTAGGCTCCGGCACTCTCCTTTACTCCTCTCCGCGTGTGTGAGCGTTTGTGTGTACGTGGTCTGAGTTTTGGATTCCCTGTGAAACAGGGAACCAGCCCGCAAGAGGTCATTTGGGGAAGAAAAATTACTTTGGTGCATTGCCGTTGCAGTTTTCCTTCCCTGTTTTCCTATATTCCTCGTGGTGCGGGTGTGCTTTTTTTGTAATGAAATACATGCCTATAGGGTTCCTTAATATAAATTCACGCAGGCCTATCAACAGATGGAATGCTGCCTGCTGAAGGAGCACGAGTAGGTCGTTTGCTATACAAACTTGGGTGTTGCAGGCAACTGAGAGCCTTGGCAGGCTCTGGGAAATCACTGTCCATCACACACTGGTTGTCCAGGGCTGTGTGAAGGCATCACTTGTCTACAAATGCCCTGTGACACCTGGGCAGAAAGCAGGCAGCTGGAGGAGGAAAGTGTTGCCAGCAGGTTGCTCAACCGGCCACTCTGAAAGTTATCAAGATAAGCCCTTGTGAAGTTGATTAGGAAAATATATTGCTAATTGTTCTTTTTAAATAGAATTGGCTTATCTCGGACTACTGCTGAAGGTAGCCATCTTGCAGAGAAGTGCTGTTATTTCTGAAACAGAAAGCTGTAGAAACCTATGTAATGATCATAATTGGTTTTTAAAATATTACCAGATATTTGACAATCCTGAAAGCCTTAAAAAAAAAAACCCAAAACCGTCCACTGTTTAGATACTCTTTTGTCAAGCCAGTAGTACTAAAGCATGTTGTCCTGTCAGGTAATATTTTTAGCATGAGGATCATCTGCTAAACTGGGAAATTCAGCTGTAACACCTAAATTCTTGGTGTGTGCAGCTGGCGGGAGCAGCTTCCTAGGTTGCAAATTTCTGAGTTAGCTCAAGCTAATGTGCTCATCTGTCAAGAAGAGTCAGGGCATAAAGGTTTCACTTCACGTATGCTTCCGTCCAGCATGTGTTGGCAAATTTTGCCTCTAGTAGTAGGAAAATGTTTGTAGAGCCTGAGTGGGTATGTTCAGTTCTAAAATTCAAAGTAGTGTTTGTTAGCATTGCACATTATAGTGTGGGTATTTAAAGAGACAGACTTTTATCCCTGCCAGAGATAAAAATTGCCTTGAACTTTAAGCGGAATCATTGGAAGTTAAGGCATTCACTCTGTATCCTGAGCACAGAGTTCAAGGGTAGAGCATTTAAAGTTTAGCTGAGTGTTGTAACTTACTGGCCACCCTTCTTGGTTTTTATGCATTACTCTGGCTCCAGGGAGACCTCAGTGATTTTCTGCTGTAGGTCTTTCTGTATACTTACTTGGATTGCAGAAGTAATCACAATTCACAGCCCTCAGCCCAAGAGATTTCCCACTTTTTCATGAGAGAAGTTCTTGCTTGACTTGTCCCACAACTCCCTCCAGTGTTGCCTCCTTGTGCACATAGTACCAAGGCAGTAGTTCTTTTCTGAGTGGATTAATGAACAAAATTAATCAACCTTAACGTGTTCTCTGCTTTTAATGTATAATAAGAGGATGGACAGCAGAAAGAAAATATGTGCAAGCCCCTCAGTAAGAGGTGATCACTCTTCTGCTCTTGTGCAGTTTTCCTGAGGAGATCTGCCCCTTGTATTGTTTCTGGTAGTGTACAAAGTCCTCCTTTCTGTTAGCTTGCTCTGATATACCATGATTTGTTTTTTCACATGTCAGTTATAAAATTAGGCATCATAAACCTGCCAGTACTCTTCTGTGTGCTGTAGCTTGTGCTGTGAGGGCAGGGGCCAGGTTAGCAGTCAGAGCAGAGCACAAAAGCCTGCTAGAAATAACAGTGGGTGGGGGCAGGAGGGTTGGGGTGAAATTCTCCATGCATCAAACACCACCATGAACTTGACTGAAGTGCAGCCCTGTCTCTGCTGCTTGGGGGAACGCTTTCTACCAAAGGCATTAACGTGAGATATCCTGTGTGGTTGCTTTTGTAAAGCCGGGCGTTCTCCAAAGTCTCAGCTATGTGGTCATGCTCTTCTGGTCTGTGCTCATTTCCTGTGTGGGCAGGACCCCCAAGAGTCTTCCACTATCTTATCCCACCCTTTTCTTAAGTCTGATGAGTGTTCAAATACACTGCTTTCATAAAAGTGGGCTTAGGCTGAAATATGAGGCATTGGTTGCGAAATAGCTTGGAAGAGGCATTTCTTTTTAACATAATTTGGGATTTTATGGCCACGTGTATTCTTGGAAATCCCTTCCTCTGACTATCCAGCACCCCAGCCTCCCATCTGATTTTTAGAGGCACAGTAACTACTTTTCATTATGTCCTTAGGGAATTTTAGCCTGCAGGGAAGAACTGCTTTAAGATATGTAGTTGCACTGGCCTTTCAACTTCCTTGTTGCTGCTGGGTGGAAAGGGAAATCAGTCTTCACCCAGGCTGTTAAATTCAGCTGTAGTTTGTGTTAAAGGACTGCAGTTGTCTTTCTGCCAGCCAAAGGCTGAGATGTGTGAATACCAGCTCCTTCCCAAAAACTCTGAGGGGCAGCAGGAACAACAAGAGCCACATTCTCTCGTGTCATGCACCAATACTGCATTGGGGAGCCTTTACAGAGCGCAGCCCAATTCCTGGTGGTCATTTCCAAGATAAATGCTCAAAACCTCTGCCTCGCAGTGGCATGGTAGGAGTAGCAGAGCTGTGGCTTGCTGTTTCTCTCAGCTCTTAGTTACAGTATTCAGATTCTTACCTATGCAGAATAGATACTTTTCTCACACCAGGCAAGCACGTGTTTTTGTGGACTCCAGCCATATCCTTCCTCTCTCTTTCCCCATGGTTAGTGCTGTTAGCCCAATTATTATAATAATAATAATTGGGCTAGCAGCACTAGCCATGCTCTGCCTGGGCAGCTGCGTCCTGACACATTGGGTCTGGGTGAGGCTGAGGGGTCGCAGTAGTTGATAAATGTTAAATGCAAAGCCTAAATACCCCTCACTGCTGCTGAAGGGTATGGCAGTGGCAGCTTTGGCAGGCTGGGGTTCGGTAAGAGCTGTCCCATCCAGCTGCTGCTCTGTGTGCCTGATGCCTGGTATTGGGAAAAGCAGCAGGTCTGCTTTGCTTTCCTGCGAGGATTTTGGGGATCAAACGTGTTTGGTGTTTGCTCATTCAGTTTGTGAAGAACTTAGAATATTCCAGAAAAAAAAAGACCCTTAAACTAGGACGTTGTCACATGCTTACTTTTATGATGCCTTTTTATCTCTATTTGTTTGTGATGTTGCTTAGTCTCCAAGTGCTTTTTTTGTGGTAGACACAAGTCTTTTGGCTAATGTGAGCAGAACAAGCTTTTCTTACTTACATGGCAGCCCGGGGAGGCTGGCTGTGCCTCCCTCAGCCCCAGCGTGTTCCACAGCACGACTGAAGCTCTCTGCTGAGACTTGGGATTTGCAGAGTTCCTTACGAGATGTGTTGCATCACACAGGGAAGTTCAGATGTTTCACAGGCCGGCCAGAAATGAGAAATGGCCACTGTTGCTGTTGTTGTAGCAGAAGTGGTGTATTATAACATGTTGGGAGGATTGGAAACATGTGAAAGCGTCTCCTGGCAGTTGTTTCGGTGTGCATCACGCAAAGGGAGGGAATGAAGGGAGTACTTGTAGCAGTTTGGTATTAAGCATGAAGCTGGAACAGACCTCCTTGTTTTTCTGTAGGAAAAAGTGCTTCCTGGTGGAGAGCTGTCTGTGTTGTCACACATTTGACCCGGAAAGATATGCCTAGCAGGCTTTCAACTCTTACCTGCTTTTACTACTAAATGAAGCATTTGATTTAAAAAAGGACCTATTGTTCAGTGTACTGTTCATCTTGAGCTGGCGTTTTCCCGTGTTGCACCACACATGCTATGTGCACTGCAGCACTTGTCTGTCTTTTTTTTTTTTTCTCTCTCCCTCCCCTACCTGCAAAACAGTGCAGTCAGGAAAATGGCTTCTGTGGGCTTCAAAGCAAGGATTAGATACTGTCACTGAGGCTGAGGCTGTGGAATACTTTGCTTAGAAAAATAAAATAAAATCAAAATTGCATTAAAATGAACCATTTTTGGCTTTCTTAGGCATTCTCAATAGAAGAGCCTTTTAATGCATGTTCTCAATAAGTAGACTTTAAATGCAGGTTCCTCTTCTAGCAATGTTTTCTGTCAGTGTCGCTCTGTTCACTTGTGAAGTTCCCTCCTGTCCCTTTTTTGCACTAGTATTCAGGGTGTTTCTAAAATCCAGCTATATTTGGCAATACATCACT